CACTTCCTCTAGAAGCTGGCCTTTTTCTGGTTTAGGCATTCTTCCCCTTCCTGGCTTCATTCCTCCTTGCCAGCCAGCCCTCTCCTCTGCTCACACATCATGTGAACCTTTACTAAGCTTGTGCTGTTCTTGTCATGTACATGGTCATCATCCATGTAAAGAGCTCTGCCACTCCAGGATAGTTGAGAGATGGTGGCCTGCCCCTCTCTGCAAACACCACAGTACCATTTTGTGGCACATGCATAAGGCAATGCTTGCCATGATTTTTCTTGACCACAGGCACATTCCAGTGAGACCCTGGTTGGGCAGAGAATGAATGGAAGATCACTGTGGGTACTCTCCCGTTCCAAATTACCACTAGCAGTGTCCCTATCATCTAGAGACACTCCAGAGCCCAAAGTGGGGACAGTGTAGCAAATTTGATGTCCAGGTCCTACACCATTCTTTCAGAGTGGGACTTGGCAGATGCCCAAAGGATCAAAGCCCTGTAGATTTACGAAAGTTCATGAAAAAAGCAGACTAGCTACTTTTGGATTTGGGCAGAGGGTAGGAGGATTTGGTGGGGGAGAGAAAAGGTATTTTTCAGGATCCTGTAGCATGCATTGTTTTCTACCACCTTGGTTATTCTTTCTCTTTAATCTTGTTGAGAAATTCAAGAAGATTATAAGGGACTATGTGCAGGGCAATATTATTATCCTTATTATTTCTTCTTTTCTTTTTCCTGCAAAGGGTAGTGGAGCACCAGCTGTACAATTTCATAAACTATGGGATGTTAGACCTGCTGGTTTCCTTAGACTGCATCTAATTCAACCCCCTACTTGACAAATGAGAAAAACTCCAGCCCAGAGAAAATAAATGACTTTGCCAAAGTCACATGATTTCCTTATGGCAGTACAGATATGAGAATCTAGCTCTTGATTCCAAGCCCAACAAGTGCTTGTTATAGGTCTGATATCAGAAGGATTAAGCATGTGAAGGGCTTTAGGACCTGAAATGCTGTCTCCTTCCCTCAGTGACAGTGAATGAATAGAACTTTATTGGGTAAGCCATGGTGACCTTTTGTAAATCTCCCTATCAGTCCTTGAAGTGGGTAACTGGGGAAGTGATGTCTTTGTGTCCCTTATTCCTCTTTAATATGGTCTAGAAAAATTAAATTCACCTGGAATTTGTTCAAGTGTCTGCTTCTCAGAGAAGCCTTGTCTAATGAATCTTCTGAAATAGTAGTGTTCTTCCCCACCCAGTCCTCTTCCCCTCAACACTTAGTAATATACTTATGCTGCTTAATTTTTCTCCATAGCACTAAGTATCACCTGATATGTCAGAGATTTATTTATTTTCTTTTTATTAAATGATAGAAAGAACCCAAAATAGGGAAGATACATGTGAAAAACTGAGAAAATTTTCCTACTAATGCTAGGGTTGTCTCCTGTTGACTTAAAATACTGTAGGGGGCACATGGGTGGCTCATTTGGTTGAATGTCTGACTCCTCGTTTAAGCACAGATCATGATCTTGGGGTCATGGGATTGAGCCCCGAGGTGCTCCTCACTCAGCAGAGAGTCTGCTTGAGATTTTCTCTCTCCCTCTCCCCCACCCCCACTGCTCATGTGCATGCTTGCTCGCTCGCTCTCTCTAAAAATAAATAAATCATTTAAAAAAATACTGTAAAAAAACAAAGAGTTCTGATAAGAAGGGGAAGGTGTGGGGAAAGAGAGAATAAAGGTAAAGCAAAAAGGAGGAATAAAAAATCCTGTAAGGTAAAAGAAGATATCAGACTGGCACACTAGCAAAGATCTGAATGGGTGACCAAAGAACAGAGACATGGAAATAGAGCACTAAAAAGAGGGCAGCTGTATCAGCTATTTATTGCTGCAGTCATGCTGTATAACAAACCACCCCCAAACTCTGGCTCAAAACAGATTTATTGAGGCTGGACTCAGGTGGGTCCATTCACATTTCCAGAGGTCAGTTAGCTGTTGGCTGATTTAAGATGGTCTCAGGACAACTGTGATAACACGGCTCTGTCCCTCATGTCTCAACCTCCAGCGGGTTATTCAGGGCATGTTGTCATGCCCATGATAGAAGAGTGCTGAGTGAGCAAAAGGAAACACGCAAGGCACTTAGGGTTTAGACAGAACTGGCACAGCATAACCTCCACAACTGGCCCAGGAAAGTAACAGGGACAGAATCAAGGGGTAGGAATATTGATGCCACCTCTTGATAGGAGAAGCTTCAAACAGTGTAGAGGGAGAGGTAAGGAATTGGGTCTTGATTACAGTTTACCACAGCAACCTTGGAGGTCTTGTGGCTCAGAGCATGAAAGTCTCTGGTTCTCTACAGTGCCAGTCCTTGAAGGTGGGACTGCTCCCCAGGGGACCTGGATTTTTGAAAACCCTGTTTCTACATGTGTATATTCAACTAAATATGCATGTAGAAACAGTTTTCAAAAATCCAAGTCCCCTGGGGAGCATTTTATACACACACACACACACACACACACACACACACTTTACTTCCTTCCTTTAATACCGTCTTGTAGACCCCTCATTCAAGGGTACTCTCCAAAGATGTTGAGTGGGCTTCAAGTCCAGTGTGAAATGGTTTCATAAGGAAAATGTAACTTGGGTCTATTCTGGCAGTACCACGGAATGACATGAGGGACCAATGTATGTATGGGTGAAGGGCACTCTATCATCTCAGTCTCCAGAACTCTTTTGGGGTCTAGAAGCATTTGCTTTCCTCTTTAGCTTCCCACTCCTGAACCTCCAACAACCTAAAACAAACCTATTTATTCATTAAAGAGACTGTGACTGTATTGACCCAGAATCCCAGATGTCCTCTCAAAACTTTGGTGAGCAGACCCAATCATTCTTTCCCCACCCCAATGAAGTGGCTTGGCATCAGGGCACATCCTGGATGTCCTTCTGGTCTCCTTACAATCAGGCCAGAACCCAAACAGGCCCCACCATCCAGCCACTAGCATTCCTTAGTAGTTCTCAGCTTGGTGTAGAGCTCATCATTATTTAGAAAGGAAAAAAACTTCATGTGGACACCTCTGACTCCTATCTGCAAGCATATTATTCTAGGTGCAAAACAAACTATAAAAAATGAAAACCAAAGGCTTGCTCATCCCCTATGACTCTAGAGGGGAATTCCAATCACACAGAGAACACCCTGTCCCTTCCTCCCACCTTTTCCATCTAACAGAAGAGGAGGAACTAGCCTTGGGGAGGGAATTGCTTTCCTGTTCCACTGTCTGTAAGCACATTTTCCAGATCATTCCTGACTTTTCAATTTCAGAAAGCCTCCACTCCAAATGAGGCCCAGTGTTGGACCAGCCTCAAGATGTACTTCCTACTTCTCATAGGTAAAATGTTATCAGCCTGAAGGGAAATGGCAAATGCACAGGGCAATGGAGAGTACATGCACAATGTTGGCTGATAAACAGAGTTTTGCACATGGTAGCTTGGGGGGCGAGCAGTTATTTTCCATGGGCTATTATCAACAGGAAATCTAACTGTAGTTAATGCAGCCAGAGATTTTGGCTAGTCTCTTGAAACAAACTTTTGAGAGCCCTTTAAGATAACTGTCGCTCACCTTCCAGACTCATTAATCATTGACAAGCTGAAGCTATCCAGTTAGGAGGAAATGAAGAAGGGGCCGTTGAATACATGTCAAACAAATCATGCTCTCAAGCTGGCACCAAACTCAAGAAACTCCAGTGAGAGACAAAATGTAAGCTAATGTGCCAGATTAAATCCTAGCACTGTGACTGTGGCAGGGAGGGGAAAAAAAGGGGTTGAAGAATAAAGAAATATCATGGCTCTGAGATCAAAAACTTTAAATCTTAACTCTCATTTCTCTCCCCTTTACTCCCACCTCCAATAAGAATATATTACCCTGTCTGGGGGAAATAGAGTGGGAAGGTGGGGGAGACACAAAAAGAGATAAAGCTATTGAATCCTGTGTTCCTGACTTCCTTAGAGACCAAGGTAGTTCTTGAAAGACTTAATTTTTCCCCATTAACTTTTATGAAGCCTGACTTGGCTGTAATGTTTTTTAAATGCCAGCCAGTTTCCAGCCAGGATTTTCCAAGTGCATCTAATTGCCCACTTTATCACAGGCACTATCAGGTAAATGGTGTTCCACCTCCGCTGGGCCTGCCTAAGGTTGACACCCAGGACTTGTCAGGCAATGGATCACAGAGCCAACATGGGGGCCCCTTGCACTGCATTCCTGCATGAGGGTGACAGTAAATTATGACATCTGCCAGGAAGATCGGAACACGGCTGTGCTACCGGATGCACCTAAACTACACAACCAGGAAGGCTTTTAAGATGTAATTGGAAATGCGTCTGAGAGCTCTTAAAGGGACAAAGAGCCTCTTTCCCTAGCAACAGTGGAGCAGAGATGACATTTGCTTTTTCTCTTTGATGACATTTAATAATCTATTTTTATGTTGCCTGCATAATGCTACTTGGCAATTATAAAGTGCCCAAGAATTTAAATTGTGCTTCTATCTGTCCTCTCAAGACCCTAAAAGCCACTCAAAAGTCCTCATCATGCCCATAGCCTAGGATAAAGAAACAGAGATGGAGCCATGATGGGTGATGGGGCTTGGGTCAAAAGAAAGTGATAAAAAGTACCACACCAGGGACCTCAAATCTAGGTCTTCAAACCCCTCAAAACATACATTTTACCAAGTTTACCAAGACCTTTTCTACCTTCTTCCTTTCCAAAAGTCATTTTGTTAATTGTAGCTTTAGAAATATGGGGTTATATTTTTGTACATGTATGCCTTTTTAGTCTAAATTTTTACACTGAAACTTGACATTAAAGAAGACAAAACAAAATCCAACGAAACACCAAAACCAAAATGGAAAAATAAACCTCTTACTAATCAAAATAGATTTTTTAAATGAACTCATGGGAAAAATAAAGAACAAAGGAGGATAAGTGACAGGGAGCATAAGATTATCAAAGCAAACAATCGTTTATTAAAACTTTCAACGGAATAACTTGGAATTTCAGACAAACTACACAGATGGGAAGGGTAAAGATGTGACTTGAGACATTTTGGAACTTGGGAGGTTCTTTGAGTTTGATAGCATGAAAGACTTAATAAGCTAATAAGCAGGCAGCAAAGCCTGACATCACAAGACACAGTGCAGAAGATGTTTCTAATTTCAGTGAATTTTCACAAGGCAAATACCCAGCTCTTAAATTTTTAAAGAAAAAAAGAAGGTGGCTTTGTAGGTATAGATACCATAAATGCTGATCTAAAATGGTGATGATACAAATTGTCCATCAGCATCCCCACTTGTAAATGACAGACTTTTTTGGTTTATGAAGGCTACACAGAAATTATCTGGTGCAAAGAGATCAAGGTTTGGTTTGCTTCCCAACATGGTGACTTATTTTGTGATGACCTTGAGCAAGTCCTATAACTTCCTGTGTTTAATTTTCTTACCTTAAAATGTGAGTAAGAATATCTAGTTTGTGGGCTGTAATAAGGATTAAATGAAAATTGGATATAAGAGCACTTTGTAAACTATAAAATGTTATTATTTTCATCTGAAAACAATCTAGTATTTATTGAAAGTTATGCCATGCCCTTCAGTATTGAAAAAGAAAATGGCGTTACTGATTTTATTCCACATTAAGCCACTGTTTATTGGGTACTTGGTATACGCAAGGTGCTCTGCTAATAACACTGGTACCCTCTAAATAGAATAAGGCATGGTCATGACCACTGGAATGTTACATTGGTCCAGATCAAAGCTACCATATATGTATGCATGTGTCTCTATTCCTTTTGTCCAACATTTACTGAGTAGTCACTGCCTTAAGAAATGTACAGAATGGCTGGCATGTGTGTGCATGCACACGTGCACGTACATGTGTGCACATATGCACAAATAGGCAGATTCTACATTATGATATGTATTATAAAAAAATAATTTTATGAGTCTATGACAAAATTTTCTAGAAGGGAGTTTCCAGAAAGTTTAATATATGAACTTAGTTCTACACCTGGAACTATTTATACATAAATGCCATTTTTTTAAATAATAGCTCAACATATAATAGCTTGGATAATGTTTTTCCTCACTGTAGTTTTTGGCAATATCAGAGGTAAGTAAATAGATGGATAACTTAAGTGACCAGGAAATGGAAAAGCGATATGTCATTGTAAGCAGGCATGACTGGTAGAATGAGGCTGGTTCACCACAATTAAAAACAGTAAAATTCTAGGGGAAAAAAAAAAAAAAAAAAAAGAATGGATGTGGCATCTTCTAGCCTTCCTTGTATCACAGTCAATATTTCAAAAACACTAATAAAATACCACCTATACTCAAATGCTTGGTGGATATATTGAACTAAAGAGGTTTTTGTTTTGTTTTTTAAGATTTAGTGGTTTCCTTGACATTCACTCTCAAGTTGCAGTCCTGAGGTAAACAACTGAAACATCCTCTTTTCTTTCCTCTATTAGTTAAACCTTTCCAGAAAGAGATATTATCATTGTTTCTGAGCTCTACAGAAACTACCTAATAAATACTGACAATTTATATAGATCAAGTAGAAGATAAGTATAAATATATTTAATAAGTAATATGTTTTATACTTTATTATAAACATTCATTTGTTTGAAATTTTACTGAACAATTACTTACCTGGGTTCGTTCTTAAGATACATCATGGACATTATTTTCATACTAATCATGGGCTTCCCTAAAAGATCCTGTGAATCCTGTCATTTAGGAGACTGGAATTTCTTTGCCAACATTCCACTCCAGTCCACAAATGCTGATGTCCTTCATTACAGTTGTTAACACATCACAAAAAACACAATAACATGACCAGAATGGACTCTTCAGTTTTTCAAGTGGTTTGAAAAACATTGTCCTTTGATTCTTTTATGAGAGTTCCATAATTTCTTGGGGTTTTCCAGCTGCTTTTTGATCACTGGCCCTGTCAGCCTCTCTTCCCAGACAAAAACTGGGACACTTGATGGTGGTTGTGGTGAATTAATAAGGAGAAAAAATAAACAGAAGGCCCTTTTCCCATGTGTTTTTTTAACTTTGCAAATCTGTTCACTATACAGTTAATTTGGAGCTTGCAATGCAGGAACTCTGTCTGGCTCTTCTAATTCATCATTCTCTTCTGATGTTATTTCATCCTTAGAGAGTCCACAAGTGGAACTCACAGCAGGCAAGTGAATAGATGGTCCTCTTTCCAGGTTCCCACATTCTTCCAGGACATCTGGGTAGCTGGGTGCAAAGGCAAAGCAAAACTTTCTAGGATTTCCACCATCCAATCCCTTAGGTTTAATATCTAAATTAGTGGTAGGCAAACATTTTCTGTAAATAGGCAGATAGTGTGTGTTTTTGCTTTTGCAGGCCATATGGTCTCTGTCACAATTACTCTGCAGTCATAGCATGAAAGCAGCCATAGATAATACATAAATGAATGAATGTGGCTATGTTCCAATAAAGCTTTATTTATGGACACTACAAATTGAGTTTCCTATAATTTTTATGTGTCATAAAATAGTCTTCTTGTGTTGAATTTTTCCCAACAATTTAAATATGAAAAAACAGCTAAGCGAAATAAGTCAATCAGAGAGACAATTACATGATCTCACTCAGATGTGGATTTTAAGAAACAAAATAGAGGTTCGGAGGGGAAGAGAGGAAAAAATAAAGCAAGATGAAGTCAGAGATGGAGACAAACCATAAGAGACTCTTAATCATAGGAAATAAATAGGGTTGCTGAGGGGAGGAGGTGGGGGATGGGGTAATGGGGGTGATGGGCATTAAGGAGGGCATGTGATGTAATGAGCATTGGGTGTTATATAAGACTGATGAATCACTGAACTCTACCTCTGAAACTAATAATACATTATATGTTAATTAATTGAATTTAAATAATATATATGTGTATATACACACACATTTAAAAATAAATAAATATGAAAAAGCATTCATAGCTTGTGGGGCCATACAAAACAGACAGTGGCTAGATCTGGCCCACATGCAGTAGTGTGCTAACCCCTGATCTAAAGGAGTAGTTCTTGACATTTATGTTTCAAGCCAGTACTTACTTTTTGGATCCCACAATTTATATCTCTACATGTCTGTCCCTCGATACCTTCAGTGTCCAGAATGGAAGTTGTGATTCTCTTCTCCTGTGCTTTTATTGCCCAGGGTTTTTTTTCCATCTGAAAAGAATACTCTCACATCTACAGCTAGAAAACTGGTAACCATTCTTGAGTGCTCTTGTACTACACTTCACATCCAACCCATCACCAAATTCTGTGTATTGTACTTCCACAACATACCTCAGATCTGCTTAACTTTTTCCATCTGGACCAAGTTACTCTCACCTATTAACTGGATTGGATTCCTTTAATAATTTCCTAATTGGAATCTCCCCTTTTCTGTCTTTCCTATTAGCTAAGTCATTACAGAATGAGTTATTTTCATTGCTTCTGAGGTATACAGAAACTGTGTGATCAATATTGACTATATGTATAGGTAAAAAAAATTTCCATACCTACCCTCTCTTAGTTCATTTTGCTATACATCTAAAATGAATTTGCTAAATCATTAGTCATAAAATCTCTCTGATGGCTTTCCTTTGCCCTGAAAAATAACCCAAGCTCCTAATTAAATTCTTCAAGGTTCTACCTGAAACAAACTCCACTTTCTCCTCCATCTCTTCACCACCTCTGGTCACTCTCATTGTTCATTACACTTCAGCCCACTGGCCTTCTTTCTGTTCTTGCTGTTCCTTTCCTGGCTCCACACTTTTTCCTCAATCTTCCCTCTGAGGTGGTCTTTCACCAGTTCTTTGCTTGGTTCTTTGCTAAGTTTCAGCTTAATTATCACTTTCCCAACTGGCCACTTTATCCAAAGTAGGCATCTCCGTCTTAGCCTTGATGACTTCCTTCATAGACTGTATCCTAATATTTAACAGTTTTGATTGCCCCTTTTTTAACCTGTTCATTGTCTGTCTTCCATATAGATTGTAAGTGATGTGAGGGTAGATCTTGACTGTGGGATTCACTGTATCCAAAGGCCCAGTCTATTACATAGAATTTACTGAATAAATGACCTAATAAATGAATCTATCAATTTAAACATGTAGACCAATCCTGTAGTGTAACTGTTAAGTGTATGCCAATTTTTAATTGATCTATAAACTACATTCAGAGAAATCCATCACGGCAAGTTTTCATTTTTAAAGCTTTAATGCATTTTTCAATTTATTTGCCAAAACAATGAGTACTTTTGTTAATAGAGGTAACAAAAATGCAAATGTTAAAAGGAAATCCCATCCTGCTAAAATTTTTGTCTGTAGTTATCTAAACCATGTCCTTGAAATCTGCATAGTTACACTATGCAGTATGATGGAAAACATACAGTTTCTAAGGTAAATGGAGAAGGGGCAGTATGCCACCAGCAGGAAAAGATCAATTTATCCCTCAAGTGGAGCTCTGGGGAAGGATGTGGGGGCTTTGGTTGTGGAACTATGTCTTCTCTGTTTAATCGTACATCTCTCAAACCTATTCTTTCTGTTTTTTCAAAAACATCATTTAATTTGAAGGATGATTAAGAAGTGATTTAAAAAATGTGCATGGATGGGGGCCATGGCATGGGTTGGAATACTGTGTCTTTGTGGCCTGTGTAATGTCAACCTCTGACCCCCAGTGTCCTCCTTAGAGCCCCAGAGTAATTTCTCATTATACAGTTATTTTGAAGACTTGGAAAATATTTGTAAGGACCTGGCATAATATATGACATAGACAAGGTAGATATAAAAATAAAGTCTTAGCTTATGTGTCATAAATACTACTTTTTTAAAGGAGTAAGTTCCATGAAGTGGAAATGTCTTGCATGTTTGTAATAAAAAGAAAAAGAAATCTGGCTTGAGAAGGATTTTGGCTATTGTAAGTCCCTGAGAGGAAATTTTTTTCACTATGTTCAGCATTTTGTTAAATGTATAAGACAGTATTTGCTACATTATGCTGCAATAACTAACAGCTTCTGAAACCCAGCAACAAAGGTTTATAAAGGTTTATTTCCTGTTTATTTTGTATTTAGGCTGTGGTAGCTGCCCATTAGCTATGACTCTGCTCCACATACATTCATCCCAGAACATAAGGAGAAGCAGCCTTTCTTAGGTACATATCTTTCTCAATGCAGAAAAATGGAGATGGTTGAATCATACATGACTCACAGCTTTAGACATGGCATATGTTACTTTGCCCACATTCCACTAATGAAAGCAAGTCACACAGGCAGAGTGGTATCATTGAGCCAAGGAAGTCACTCCTCCAAGGGAAGTCACTGCAATTCACATGGCAACACATAGAGATTTATAATTCTCTTATAAGAGGGGGCATAGTAACTGGGTATAATAAGACAACAGATTGCATTAGCCTGAATTTTTTCCCTAAAATTAAAAGGAAAAAAAAATAATTAGCATGCCTTCTAGACTTAATGGACAGATTTCCTCCACCTGAAATAAACCAATAAAAACATTGCTTTGTAGGGGTGCCTGGGTGGCTCAGTCCGTTAAGCGGCTGCCTTCAGCTCAAGTCATGATCCTGGGGTCTTGGGATCGAGCCCCGCATCCGGCTCCCTGCTCAGCGGAGAGCCTGTTTCTCCCTCTCCATCTGCCTGTCACTCTGCCTACTTGTGCTCTCTCTCTGTCAGATAAATAAAAAATCTTTAAAAAAAACCCCAAACATTGCTTTGTAGAACCAATTGGATGAGATACTTAGCATGATAGAAAATGCTGTTTTTTTAGTAGCAAATTAAATAGCACAGTCTCAGAATAGTTTCCTGTGACTGATACGGCTTTTGTAGGACTGGTCAAATAGGTGGATTTAGTGTTAGATGGATAGGTCTGGGCAACACTGATCATCATTCTCCCCGGACAAGCTCTCAGAGCTGCAGTAAGCATGATTGCATTGAGCCTCAGGCTAAAGGATTTACAGTCTCCCATAGTCAGACCACAATATATTCATTAAATATTTGCCCAGAGTTTACTAAACTATTTGGGCTACCCAGAGTTGTTTGTATTAATAGCCAGCAGATTGAATTTTCTACTTATACACTCAGTCATCAGTAAACCCTGGAAAATCCTCTTTCCCCCTCATATTACTTGTTTTGCCACCGTAAAAAAATAACATATTTCAGCTCTCCCAACTGGTACCTGTCTCATTGGTCAATACTTGAGTCCAACTTTATCCCACTTAGAAAGAAATGAAACAGGTACTTTCATTCTCATTTTTTAATTGAGAAACTGATATTCAGGGAGTGAGTCCTGTCCTCTGACCATGAGTTGGTAAGGGGAAGACAAGGAAGGTACCCTGGATTCTTCATGAAGACCAGTACAACAGTATGGCTTGGCATTTCAGTTTCCATGGAATTCCATAGTGGTAGAAACCTAAACAATTTTATTATGAAAAATTAACAGATTTTTGCACAGAGAAGAATTAATCAAAATAGTTTTTCCCTCCAGATAGTCAAGCTTAACAAATTCTTTTATAATTGTTATTGGTGTTGTTTTTTTTAAAAAAATAGCAATTCACATGATATTAAATAAAACAAAAATAGTTTTCTCACCTTATGAATCCTAGATATTTTTTAAAAAATTTTTAAAGATTTTATTTATTTTGAGAGAGAAAGATCATAAGTGGAGTGAGGGGCAGAGGGAGAATCGGACTCCCCTGAGCAGGGAGCCTGATGTGGGGCTCAATCCTGGGACTCCAGGATCATGACCTGAGCTGAAGGCAGATGCTTAACCGACTGAGCCACACAGGTGCCCCAAGAATCCTAGATATATATTTTTAAGATTTTATTAATTTATTTGCTAGATAGCACGAAAGAGAGAGCGAGTGAGAGTACAAGCAGGGGGGAGAGGCAGGCAGAGGGAGAAGCAGGCTCCCTTCTGAGTAAGGAGCCCAAACTGGGACTCAATCCCAGGACCCTGGGATCATGACCTGACCTGAAGGCAGCTGCTTAACTGACTGAGCCACCCAGGTGTCCCAAGAATCCTAGATATTTCCTAAATGATCAATGTTCATATACAAATGGCAACCATGTTGGCTTTCAGCAAGTTGGTTGCTTGGGGAGTGGATTTTTTCAGTCAATTGGTATCTTTCCCCATTTTTACTGCCCTAGAACATACATTCTAGATTCAAGAGGACTGAGCTTAATCCAAAGATTTTAAGAAGCAAGGAATTGTTTGATGTGTTCAA